AATTATTTGGGGGCAATTGTGTTTTCATATTTTGTGAATTATGCTAATAAATTTGGCTGATAATTTTTTTAGTGTTATAAAATATCAATAACCCCTTTAAAATTGGCAGATTTAAAATTCAATATTGATAAGGCCAGGTGTGAGACTGAGTGCTCCTAGATATGTCTTGAAAATAATAATAATAATAATAATAATAATAATAAATTATTTTAAAGAATACCTTTGGCTTGAATTTTTTTGATTCAATTTTCCAATATTTTTAATTTTTCCCCTTTTTTATTAGATCGTAAAATATTAAAAATAATAGTTGCCACATTCATATATCTATCATTCTCGTTGGAAATTCTAATACACCTATCTACCTTCTTATTAATAAATAGTACTCGCAATAATCATGCTTGTTAAAGGCAAGCAGCATCAAAGAAACCACGGAAAATTACAAGGGGAATACTGAACAGCATGTTCATTTCATGTGCCTCCATGTGCTTGCACGCCACGCCCTGTTCAATTCAAGGAGGTACACTATCACAAAAGGAAGATGTAGTGGGAGCCCTCCAATTCTCACGTCCGTTAAAATTGATATAAAAATAAGAACATCTGTACCCAAAGCAACAAACACGCTTAGGAACGGCTATAATTTTATAAAATTTTGTTACAAATATCTATCTATGTTCATCATTACATTACATATAGATATTATTTAAAAACAAAATAGAAAGATTTAGTATAGCTAATTGCCTAGACGATGAACTTGCCTGGCAGTTGTCCATGGGTGTGTGTAGGGGTGTCAATTTCGGGTCACGGGTCAGGTTCGGGTCGAACTTGAAACTGACCCGGCACTATTCGGGTCAACCCGAACACGACCCATTTTAAAAACGGGTCAGTTTTCCTGACCCAAACCCGACCCGCTTCGAGTCCGGGTCAACCCGATACGACCCGAATGACCCGTTTCCAATAAGAAAATGGCTAATTTTCAGGTCAAAAACGGGTCAATCTCCTCTTTTCGGGTCAAAAAATGGTCAAAATAAGGTCAATCTCGTGTTGCCGGGTCAAAATAGGGTTTTCGGGTCAAAATCGGGTCACTTTCGGGTCAAAGGGTTAACCCGAACCCGACCCGATTTTTGAAATGGGTCGAGATGCTGAACCCAAACCCGACCCGTTTCAGGTTCGGGTTGACCCTAACCCGAAATTTTTGGGTCGGGTTTTTGGGTCGTGTTTGCCCTGACAAATTTTTATGGCAAGACCCAAGAAGGAGTGTCAAAAACAGGTTGTGGAGCGAGTTTGGGTCAAACCCTAAAGTGACCCGCTGCTGCTCGACAAGATTCGAATCCGACCCGTTTTAAGACATGGATCCGCCCCGCCAAAAAAACCTGGTCAACCCAACCCGACACGAATGACCCAATACCGGCCAAAAATTGCTGGCGAACACGGGTTGATCTGGTTGGAGATGTTGGACTCACACCTAGCGAGCGGAGGCGGGATGCAACGAACGTCTGGCCGAAACTCGTGGGAGGAGGAGGGAAGGTCCGGACAGGGGCGAGCATTTTGGGAGATACTTGCGGCCACGAGGCAGGTCGATTGGACCGTGCTAGCAGGCAGAGCAGCAACGTGGGCAGTCTTGGTTAGACTCACGTGGTTAGGGACTTAGCCACTTAGGGCTTGCAAAGTTGCGGGGGGGAGTTGAGCGGGAGGGACCGTGTTGGTAATCTCGGATTTTCAGGTCAACTCGAACCGACTCGTATCACTTCCTGGTTGGCCATAACCTGAAATTTTCGAGTCGAATTTTTTGGTCGTGTCAAATATTAACAACCCAAGCCAAGTTTGTGAATACTTAGAACAAGTCGTTGAGTTTTTTGTCAATTATTGTTTGCTGAGTAGGCTACTTGATGGGTCCTCATTAGCTAGTTAACAAGACTCAGCTTTGGGTGGCACGAAGTTTTTTGCGAATTCAACTTTGACGAGAGCGAAGTTGGATATTGACTAGCGACATGTTGAATTAAATTCAAATTATTGAAATGACTTTATTAATAAAATGTTGACGTCTATGGCATTATTGAAATTACACTTCTAAAGCAGCCTTCCTAATAGTAGTTTGATAATCACTCAAAAATTTCACCAATTGGTTAAAGCTATCATACACAAGAGAGATTATTAGGTGCAGAGTGCAGACGGGGAGAACCGTCTGCACACTAGTATAAAATCCAGCACTGGGTACCACTAGGTACCGCTTGGTACCCTGTGTCTGTGCAGATGGTGCTCTCCCGGCCCCGTCTGCACTCCGCACCTAATAATTATTCCATACACAATAGCTACTAAAACATCTGAAATTGTTTCAAATAGTTAAGATCATATACTTTCAAAATTGCTCAAAGTATTTATCATTAGTTAAAATTCTTGTTATTAGTTGAAATAAAATGATTGGTTAAAGCTAATTTCTAAAGCTACTTAATTTATTTTAATTTTAATTTATATCATCTTTTTTTTTTTTTTTGAGATGTGAGGAATATAATACATAAGTTATAAATGTTAAATTCTAAGTTCTTTTATTTATTCAAACGGAATTAAATAATATTAGAGATTTATTTACTATATATAAATTTCTAAGATTATTTAATTTCCTAGACGAGCAAATATGCATGGGATGAAAAGAAAAGAATAAGTATTACTAGTTGCCAATCTCATCATAATTCAGAACTATGATTACATTAGAGACAATTTTCTTATAAAATTGTATGTAGAGAAAGTAATTTTTTAAAGTTTTAATTTTTTTTAAAAGCAATGAAAAAAATCAGTGATCAGATAAAAATTATAATCACGGTTTGAAAAGCAAATCAATAAAAAAATTATCGCAAATGAAACCTATATATATCAGGGTATAATAATTATGTCTACGAATATATATTAGAAGTTCGAGAAGAACAGGGTTGATGTATGCATTTGAGCAACCCTTATTGAATTAATTAAGCTAATTCTTGACTTACAAGAAGTTGCTGGTCGGCAAAATAATTGCTGCAAATTCTAACAGTTTATGAGGGCATTGAAAGTCCAGGAAATTGAATATAATAATCCTATTGATTTCTGTCCATTAACGGATGTCATTGACAGAAAAAACTCGCTGCTAAGAATAATGTTTTTTAGTGTGGGGGTGTAATATTGGCTGACATAGCCATAATTCAAAGATTTTTATTATTCCATACAGCTCATCTTAGTTTATTAATTGAAAAATTGTGCTATAAATTAAGAGATTTAATATTCAATTTTTGTGTATATAATATGTGTGAATTTATAATTTCATTCACACAAAGTCCACAAAAAAAAATCCTGCTATTTGTTGTTGCAGGCTAGAATATTTGAGGCGATAAAGTAAGAATTTTTCGTTCTGGTATTGTACGGAGATCCAACACACAAATGGAGAACTTAAAAAACACTTGGATTTGCACATGGAAAATCATGAAATAGGGAAAAAAATCAAGGGGTCGCATCCAGTCGAAACGATTCTACTATTATTTGAATATGTTACCAAGACTGTCCCGTCTCTAAATTTGAGAACGGACAAATTACAGTAGTCCAAGAAGTAGGTTGACCTTCGTGTAAATATTTGTGAGTTTACAATGATGACGGTCAATCAGATGTCCGACTATGGTAAAGCGGAAGTTCGACTATGATAAAGCAGAAGTCTAACGACTGTCAGGAAAAAATTTGGCGTCGGTCGGCGGTCGGGTGGAAGTCCAACGATGGATGGTGGTCGGGCGAAAGTACTGCGTCTGTCGATGGTTGGGCGGGGGTCAAGGTGGAGTCTGGTGGCAGGAGATCTCCCAAATTTTTCTGCCTCTCTTCTCTTCTTTCTCTTGCTTGCTTCCCCTTTCAATGAAGAATGAGGGGTCTATTTATAATTTTCAAGGAGTAGCAGGACTAATAAATATGGAGAAAATCAATGAAACGTTGGGAGTGCTTCAATGGATGGGCAATATCAAATCCCTAAATCATGGGTTGTTTACTGAGCACTTGATTGTCTTGATGATGTTAGAATTCAACAATTTGGGCACATAGATTCGTCTCATCGAACCGCTTGATTTGACTACAAACACGTCACATTCAAATAGCATTTGATCAACAAATTAATGTTATGAAGCTTTCAAGTAGGCTTTGGTCCTCTGATTTGGGTTCATTCAGGCTCGAATTGGACCGAATTTAGTGTCGTTGGGCTTGCCTCCCTGAGATGTTCAATTCAACTATAAGTTTGTTAAAATCAGAGTCTGAATGACCCCATATTTAATTTCGAAAGTTTTCAATTCAAATTTTCTCAAGATTTGAACCCGATCAAGATAATTTTCTTATGATATTATTATTATAATATAAAAATATGACCCTAGCAATCTCTCTAATTCTTAGATAGAACAAAATCTTTTTATATATTTCAACAGATGGAATCATAGAATATATAAGACAAAATTGGGTTACTATATCGCAAGTATTATAATAAATTTTTCTGTTGAAAGTAAAATGAGAATCTAATATATTGTATGATACCAACGGGATATAATGGAGGTGGATGAGATAAGAGAGAGCTTGAAAGGAAGAACGTCACGGTCTCGATGGGCATCATCAAGATGTACAGTTGATCTCCACGATTTATTAAGATGATCCTAAATATAATTACACAAAGAACATGGCAAGGCACAATGGCACATGGCTTGGTATTTTTTATTGCAAAAGATAAGCGTCCTATGATCAAAAGCGCTGCAGCGTGAAGAAAACGTCAAAGTTTTTGGTAGGAAGGCCCTTTTGTCGGCTTCCTTTTCCAATCTTTCAGCAATAATTTAAGGGCTGCTTATTTTGGGATATTTGAAGTATACGATGAAAAGTATGTGAGTTTTTAGTATTCAGATATTGGAGATATTTTAGGAAAGGTGCTCTGCTAGGGTTTCCCCTCTGCGTCGCCGCCTCCTGAAGATTTTCCTCGTTCTCCTCCTCCGGCAAGGCCGGAGGACCCCTTCGTCATGGATACATCCTTTAGTAAGTCGGATTTCCCTCCTCTAGGCCCGGCTTCTGAAGGTCTTCCGTCTTCTCTCCCGAGGAACTGGAGCAAGATCTTCGCTCCAAACAATAACTCCCCAAAATCTCTTGAGTTCTCACATCATCCATCTGAGCCAGACATAATACCTTTTTCGAGTGAAAAGTTGTGCAAGGGAGGTGAAGAATGGGATCTTTGCCTGGTCGGGTACTCGATCGGGCGTAGACCATTTTATGAGGCTCTGCTGGGGGCCATGAACAAGACCTGGAGTTTAAAAGGTACATTTAAGTTGCTCTCTCTCAATGATGGCTTTTTCCTTCTTAGGTTTACTTGTCAAGAAGATTTTGATACGGTATGGTCGAGAGGAGTCTGGTTCCTGCTGGGTAAGCCTTTTGTGCTTCAAAAATGGCATCCCAAGTTCATTCCGAAGAAGGAAGAATTTTCGTCTGTCCCGATCTGGGTGAAGATACACGATCTACCCCTTGCATGTTGGAATTCAGAGGGTATATCTCGAATAGCTAGTAAAATTGGTGTTCCGGTGGCGGCAGATAAGCTAACTGAGCAAAAGTCCAGGCTAACGTACGCTCGAATCTGTGTGCTAGTTGACAACAAAGCCACATATCCGGAAGAGATTCAAGTATCTTTAGACGGTGACGTGGTAAGCTTAAAAGTTCAGTATGAATGGCACCCGCTCCCCTGCGAATACTGTAAGTCTTTAATGCATTTTTCTGCATCTTGTATTGAAAAGCCTAAGACTGATTCAGATGATATGGAGAAAAATAAAACTGCTAATCGGGGTAGAAGCCAAAGTAGGAATGCTCGGAGCAGAAACAAGTCTAGGAGTCAGAATCTCTCTAGACCTCTGCCCACTAATGTGGTGCAACAAGTCCTGCTCAGTAAAGCTGCGCAATCCTATAGCCAAAATAACGTCAATAATTCTAATGCAATAGGCCACCCTTTGCATTATCAGCCGCACTCCCCAACTTCCCAGAACTCCCATATCATCTTAGACAATTTGGGAGGAGAAAAGCCTTCTTCGGATTTGCCAATTAATGAGAATGTTATTGTCTCAGGTATCCCTAACCTGAATTTTCCCAATGAGGCTTTCTCTTCTTCGTCTACTTCCCTGAACACAAAATCCCCCGCCAAGACAAAAGATATCATATCTCCAAATAAGTTTGAAGTCCTCAATATTGAGGAAGTTAATTCTCATCACTCGGAAGATTTAGGGGGTGTGGATGGAATCTTAGACTCATCAATTAGTGGAAAAAGCATTATGCTGGAGAAAAATAAGCAGACTCAATCGAGTGCTGCTACAAAAAAACCTGCAAGGGGGAAGCAGAACAAAAAACCCCAGTCTCATCCAAACTCTTAATGTCTTTTCCACCCATAGCGGCGTGGAATATAAGGGGTTTTAATCACCCTGATAAAGTTTACTGTCTCAAGAGACTCATTCAATCATTCAAGCTAGACTTGGTTTGCATATTGGAAAATAGGATTAACACTACTTCTTTAAGTGATCATTTCTTCGAAGTTGCTCATTCTCTCTATTCTAATGAAGCAAGTTGCAACAATTTTGATTTAAATGCCTCGGGTCGGATCTGGATAAAGTGGAATCCCTCAAAACTAATGTTTAAGCCTTCTTATATTTCGTCTCAGGTTATTTCTTGGACAATCTGGGTAGCTAATCTTCCACTCTTTCAGCTTTCTGCAATTTATGCGGCTAACAGCCATGCTGATCGAAAACAGTTGTGGAATTCTATAGCACAATTGGCTCCTGCTGCAGATTTCCCTTGGGTTCTCATTGGTGACTATAATTGTTGTAGGTATGCCAATGAAAAATCTGGAGGTACTCCTAATACTCAATCTTCATTGTTAGATTTTAACAATATGATTTTCAATAATAGCCTTGTGGATTTGCACTCGGTTGGCTTTAAATATACATGGTTCAATCAGCGTACTAATAACCCTATCCACATAAAACTTGATCGTGTTTTAGTGAATGAGGGTTGGTTAATATGTTTACTGATTCTTATTGTTCATTTCAAAGCCCTTCCTGCTCGGACCATTGCCCAATTATTTTACTCTCTGGATCAAATACTCATGTTAATCATCGCTTCCTATTCAAAAACTACTGGTCTAACCTAGATAGCTAGCTATTGGGCCATTCTTCTTGAGGCTTTTTCTACCCCTGCATAGGGAATCTGTTATCTCATTTCAGTAAAACTTTGAAGCAGATAAAGTGTGCTATTAAAAAAGAGAAGTGGTCCTCTTCCACATGCGTTTCTAGACATTTGGATAACTTGAATAATGAACAAGCTAATATGTTGGATAAGCTTCAAAATGATCCTATCAATCCTGCTTTAAATCACTCATTCAAGGAGTTAAATATGGAGCTTGCAAAATTCAATTCAATGTATGCCTCTTGGATAACTCAGAGGGCTAAAGTGAACTGGATAAAAAATGGGGAGGAGGACTTAAAGTTCTTATATGCAAAAATTAGAACAAGAAGAGGTTCTAACAACTCTGTGGCTAATCTCCTTACTAATAATTCAGCTTCTTCTAGATCTGAGGTGATTAATTCTCTTATTCAATTTTATCAAGGCCTCTATAACCCCTTGCCTCCTCCTAATGAGAACCTGAATGGTTTTCCTGTTGGGGTTTTATTACCTCAAACTCATGTACCCAGGCTCTCTTCTCTAGTCCAGGATGAGGAGATTAAATTTGTAGTTTTTTCGGGCTCTTCTAATTCAGCCCCGGGGCCTGACGGTTTCAATTTCTATTTTTATAAGTCGGCTTGGCATATTATCAGTCCATCTGTCTGTAGGGCCATTAAATCTTTTTTCCAAAAATGTTATATGCCTAATGGTGTAAAGGCTACAACACTGGCAATTATCCCAAAGCACAAAAATGCTACTTCTATTTCTGAATACAGACCTATAGCGTTATGTAATGTTATCTACAAAATAATTGCCAAGGTGCTTGCCGAAAGAATGAAACCAGTGATGAACTTGATTGTTAAGGACAATCAAGCGGGCTTTGTAAAATCTAGAGTCTCCACTGACAATATACTTCTTGCTAATGAAATTCTATTTTTTGCTGGTAAGAGAAGGAATTACAACACCTTTTGTGCAAAACTGGACATAAAAAAGGCTTTTGACTCAGTTAGCCGAAAATTTTTGCTTGATAGACTAGCCCAAAAAGGTTTTCCCAGTCTTTTTATAAACTGGATAAAGTCGTGTATCACTGATGTGAATTTCTCCATAATGCTCAATGGGGCTCTAGAAGGTTTTTTCTCTTCTACTGCTGGTCTTCGTCAGGGATGCCCTCTCAGTCCCTATTTATTTTGCATAGTCATGGATGCTTTTTCAAACCTATTAGAGAGTAGAGGATTTAGAGGAATATCCATTGACAACTACTCTCTCTCCCATCTGTTATATGCAGATGATGTATTAATTTTTGGGGAGGCTACATTGGAGAATTGCAATATTTTGGCCAACTCTTTAAGGGATTTTGCTAATTTTTCAGGTCTTCAAGTTAACTATGAAAAAAGTGCTATAATGTTCCTAAGAAATCAAAGTCACATTCAAGATATTTGTCAAGCTCTTACTACTTTCAATATTGTCAATAAAATTAATTACCTTGGCATACCCTTATCTTATTATAGATTGAAAATAGAAGATTACTTGCCTTTATTGGACAAAGTCAATAAGAAAATGAATAGATGGAAAGCCAATCTCTTGTCTTTTGCGGGTAGGCTGCAATACATCAAATTCACTATTCAAAATACTATTGCGTACTGGATTAGAGGGTCTATTTTGCCAAAATATGTTAACAAATTTCTCAACAAATCCAGTGCCAGATTTTTGTTTTTTGGGGATACTATGAATGCTAAAACGTTACACATGATTTCTTGGGATAGAATATGTAGACCCAAAAATAAAGGAGGTCTTGGCATTCCTTCCATCCTTGCTATGCAATTTGCGTACATTTGTTCTATTAGATTTAGGATGTATAATTGTTCAACTCCTCTCTCCAAGTGGCTTCTCTGCCATTACAAATCCCCTTGGAGACCTTTTAGTGTGAACCTGGTAACCAAAACATGGAAACTCATATGCAAGACTGCTTTTGAAGTTAAACATTGTTTTAATTTCAAAATTACCAAAAATGCTCCAATATCTCTGATCTGGGATCACTGGTTGAATAATGAGACGGTAAATGATCATTTAGGCGGGTATTCTATGGATGATTGTCCTGACATTTTCTTGAAAGATCTGATAATTGGTACCCAATGGATTTTTCCTGAATCCATTCCTCCTTATCTGAGAAACTTGGTTGCTGGTATTAATACCATTGGGGAGGAGGGATCGTGTCTGTTATGGAAAAACAGGCCCAATTATAAATTCAAAAATTTTATAGAAGAATTCTATGCAGATTATCAAACTTGTTCTTGGCATAAAATGGTGTGGGCTAAAAGAAACATACTCAAGCATTCGGTTTTTGTCTGGATGGCTCTAGTTGGTGGTTTAAAGACAGTTGATGCTCTTATCACTAGAAACATTAATGTTCCTGGCACTTGCAGCCTGTGCCATTATCACAATGAAACTGTCTCTCATCTGTTCTTTGAGTGCTCTTATACTTTTACCATTCTCACTGCTTTATTTCCTGGAATGAAACATTTTCTTTTCAGACCTACCATTATGCAGGTTTTTGAATGGGTAAAAGGTCAATACAAAGGGAATGCGAAGGTTAAAAATTACTTTTATGTGACTATTTGTTGTGCTATTTATCATATCTAGAGAGAGAGAAATGGTAGGAGATTTGGTAATGCCATCAACTGTGACACTTCTCTATTACATATAATAAAGAGAAATTTATGTGAAAAAATACATAAATGGGGGAATTCTTTGGACCTTATGGAATTGCTGTAAGCTGGCAGACGTTCATCGTGCCAGCTTCTTTAATCACTCTATGACCCTATCAATGCAAATGTCCCAGATTGGTGTTTGTAGCCTCCTGGACAATGATGATACTCCCAAAAATTTGTATTGGTTCCCTTGGAAGGCCTACGGGCAACCAGGGAATTCAATATGCAATTATTGATCAAAATCCTGACACACTAATTCTGAGTCCAGGTTTATTATGGCTTGGGAGCTCCTTAATTACTGATGGTCACCACACGATTAATATGCGTCTGCATTCTCTACAGGGAATTTTTCATAGCATGCTATGGATTGGGAGCTCTATAATTTCAGATTGTCCTCTCCGCATTCTGCTCGTCTGTTAGTCTCTACAAGGAGATTAGCATGATATTCAGCTGATTTTTATTTGTCTGTAGGGAGATAGTAATAATTTTGTTTCCTGATTTTCTTTTGTATTACTGCTGCTAAGCAGATAGTTATTATGTGGTTTTTAAATTTGTTTTGGTAGCTTTTTTATGCTGATAGTTAATTTTTGTTGGCTCACTACTACTGGCAGGTTGTGGTAGTAGTCAGCCTTACCATTGTATTCTATTTGCTGGAATGAATTGGGCTATGCCCTAAACTTTCCCAAAAAAAAAAAAAAGTATTCAGATATTTAATATGAAACAACGTAAATATAAATATTTTTATTAAAAAAAATAAAAATACTTTAAGTCTTGTTGAGTCTTGGAACATTTCTTCGTTAGAGAGATAAAAAGTTTAACATTCTAATTTTGTAAGAAAATCTAGCACACAAACAAGTAAAAGAGAAAGGTATAGTATTCATAAAAGACACTAGAGTTTCTATGTAAAAATATTTTAAAAGGGAAAAACCATAGGCCCTTACCAAGTTGAAATAGTTCCATTAGTATATGCGGTTGATTACACGTAATGTCCTTCCTCAAGGAAAAAAAGCCTTGCCTTAGTGTGACAAGCACAATACATAGTTTGAGTTGGAAGAATCCGGCAACGTAGGAGTTGTTCATAGGAGAGTTAGCATCCTCGTTTGGTCGATAAGACCGGTGACAATTTATGCATTCAATAAAGGCAAGTTGATTAGATTTACGCATTTTTATCTAACTATTTTTCTTTTTATGATCAGACAATTCTTGCAAATCATTTGAACATTTATATTATGGATATGCGATATTAATTACAATTTCCTTCATTAAAAGATATAAGAAATTTTGCTAAAAAATATTCCAAAGTAGGAAGGATGTTGTATTGTCTCTTATTTTCATGCTATTGAAATTGACATTAATATTATTCATTTCAACAACATAAATCGAAAGAGTCATGATAAATGCTTGATGTTATTGTTGTAATAAATACTTTTAGTAAAAATATTCATCGTAATTTTAATAATTTTTACTAAGAATAAAAAAATGAACTTACTTTTAAAAAAATCAATTAA